GGGGGCAGAGCCGTTGCGACTCACAAAGAACTTTGGCAGGAGGAAATCAAAACATGCCTCGTCCAAGTCCCTGAACCCAAGGATCGAGGCTGAGCTTCGTATTTCTAAAACATTGTCTTTTCCAAAGTTGAGTTTGGATGTGTAGGCAAATTGCAGCAATGGTTCAAAGCCAGCCACTGTCACCTGTTAAAAATTAAGCAAGACACATTAACAACATCATTTAGAATACAGTAGCTCAAAGTAATGTACTTCTTTTTAAAATCATTATTACATTTTACTTTATACTTTATAAGATATTGTTGTGCAGAGACATTGTGTGAAGATAGGTCCACACACTTGGTATTGTTTAATTTAACAATATCCAAGTGAAAGGAGAAAAATATTGGTAAGCATAAATAGTTAATATATATTTCATGCAGTAGATAATATGCTTGGCTTCTTGGTTTTGTAAGATTTGGTTGAAGCTATCATGACAGGGCGCAAAACCAAAGTGGACTTTTGCTGTCTTAAAACCACACCTGTCTCAAAAACATCAAAAGGATTTATGCAAAAGCAGTTTTATAAACTTTTATACTGTGCTCACATTTGCATTGAACAGTTATTTGCTTCAGATATTTGCACAAGAATAGCAGGAAGGAGATGGAAGGATATTTCTGTCTAAAACTCACACTGGGAACAGAATATGTAAAACCTTTCCAGTCTGAGTGAAAACCTTTCCAGTCTGAGTGACCTTCTGATGTAAAGTGTCTTAAAAGACAACATATCAATGTGTTTTAAATGAATGCCAATTCTTTTTCATATTTTTACACTTAATATAAGCTATCTAATATATTTATTGGGCACACTTAACACGTTCCATGTTTCAGGTATGAAAATGAATGTAGTATAGTCGCTCCTATAGTCATGTTCCAAACATGTTTGCACTTTTAAATTAAGCATCTCTAAGTAACCAATGAAAACTCAAGAAAATACTTTAAAATGTTTCTATAAACTGCAATAAAAATGTAATTTCGGAAGATGAATAGTTTACTAACATTTATTTTCACTTAAAATAACTATTACTACATAGGTTTATTACATCGGATGCATGATGATGTTGCTAAGCTAAGTGTTTTTGATTAGGTCTGAAATGTTTAAATCTTAGATATTTGCATTTGGTTAGACATTTACACAACTCCCCACAAGCCCAGTTTTACCTGTATAAGCAAGTTCTGCCTTTCTAAAATTGCAGAAAAAAGCCAACCTTTTGGAACAATATTCTATGGACAGAATAATCTAAAAGTAAAGTATCTGGATATCAAGACAGAGGACTTTTGGCATAAAAACATTGTCCATAAAAACAAAAACAGCATAGCTGAAAGCGGTAAGGCTTTGGGGATAGTTTGAGTCAGCAGGACCTGGACAGCTCACCATTACAGGTTCCACAATGAATTCTAATGTGTATTTACAACATCTAAAGAAAAGTGTGTGACTGTCTGTTAAAACCACAGGAAAAGCTAAAGCAGAAACCAACCCTGAATCTCAACAGCGACCAAAACATACCATGAAGTCTATTAAAGATTTGCTAAAAATTAAGAAAAAGCAAAGTCCTGGGACAAGTCAAAGTTTATATCACAATCCTTTTTAGATGTTTTAGGGTGACTTGAACTGGGGAGCAGAAATTATCTCAGCTTAAAATGAAAAGAAGAAGAAGAACAGAACAACAGAACATTTCACATGATGCAAATTACTTTACCGCAATTAATCATCAGTATTTATATAAAGAACCAACAAAGATGTAACAATGACTTAAATATTGAGAAGATAATGTTTCCCTGGACCTCTTCCCAGTATGTGAAATTAGATTGGAATAGTTTTGTGACATTGTCTAAGTCAGGGGAACCCTCCTTCATTAGCTAATGGGGTCAATTTATGAGGAATTGTGGTAAATAAAGACAACAATAAATACACTCTTAATTTGTATTTATAAATAACTTAATTTCTAAAAATCATCACTTTGTATAAATAACTTAATTTCTAAAAATCATCACTTAAAAAAATTGATATATTTAAACACTAACAGAAACAAAGTCAAAGAAATGAATTCTCCAGACATACATTTTATCATATTTATGAAATTTTCTTGGAAACTTTTTGATCCCGCCTTCTTTGTGAATTTTATTGAGAAAGCTGTCTTGACTTGATGTCTGTACAGGGGAGAATTACATCCGTTATATTTGGTAATTGGAAAAAACAATTTGGAGAATAACAATTAGTCATTCTGTGATTAAAATGATACATTAAAATTGGTATTGGTTTGCAATACCAAAAATGTACATGATTGACTTTTTTAAAATTAGTGTTTGAACAATTTTTTTCACATTAATTCCATGAGATAAACAAATGATGTGGTAATGTTCAAAATATAACTAAATTTGTTAAGTGAAGTTGTCTTTTTGGTAAGGGTAAGTTTAGTTACTGTCTATTTTACAAGCTGACTGTTCATGAGTCATCAGGGGGAAAAAATCCCCGGACTGGCACTTGAGGAAATAAGACTTTTAGTTATGTTTATCATTTCATTTTCAAACAGATTTGTGGTTTCTGAGGCAAAAGAGTTTTTTTGTATAACTTTTTCTTCTATAACATGGCATCCTTAACAGGCTTCTCACCTCTTCTGGCAAAGTGATCACTGCTCCGTGTTGAGTGGGGGAAGAGATCTTTTGCAAGAAGTACTCGCTACAGGAAGCGAGCACAGAGCGGTGGGCTCTAAAACTCTGACCTTCCACCAGCACCGTCACGTCACACAACATGTCCCGGCAGCGCTGCTCATTCAAGCGGTGCAGCACCTGGGAGGAATGTACTGTGGACTCGAATGTAAACACAGACGACGCGCGGGTAAGCCCAGCCATCACAGACATCTATGTGTATACAAAACACACAAGCACACACAGGTTAACCACTCCCACACTGCTAAAATCAAATTTTACACTAGATGTTTTCACTCAAAAGAAAAAGAAAATAATACAAGTGCCCACCTTAGGAAGCTGGCTTTGCTCACCCCTCTTCAGGTGCTCAAGAAAGTTCCAGCAGCCTCACAGACATGGATTCTGGTAGATGGAAAACCAGCCTGTTTCCTAGAACGCCTTATCACAGCTCAGCCACAAACTAAAAACTGAGCTTGACTCAGTCATATGGCCTGTGAGTGTGTGTGTGAGAGGGAGGAAGGGAGAAACACTGGGAGTGTGTGTGTGTAAGACTTGCGTGTGTCTACGTGTTGTAACCACCATGGGTGTAACAAAGCAGAGCTGACTCATGCGCTCCTCCTGATAAAGGATGAGCTAGCACTTTTTACCCCATTGGATCTGTCTGGTAAACAAACCTTTCTTTGGAAATCCACCCTGAACACAATAAAAGGAGTTTAAGATAAAGGTAGGGAATAAAGTCTGGATTTCAAGATGAGGTAACTTATATCAAACAAATTTTTTAAGAAAATGTCCTGCAGAAAAACAACATACACAATGACTTTCTTCAAGTGATACAGTGAAGTGAAAAAGAAAACAGAACTGTTCTATTTTACTAATTGTGATATTAGAATGAATTAACCTGGGAAAATAAAAGTAAAATGCACATTTGAATTAATTAAAGAAAGAAAATAATCCAAATCAAATTGTATGTGAAGAACTTGTTACCTCCAAATATAACAGTCAGTTGTGCCATCCTTGGCAGCAACAGCAGACATTGAAAAGGGTGCCAGGCTGTTATTCTGTTTGAATTTGAAATGAATTTGAGTTTGCAATTTAACACCTTGAAATTGGACATCACTTTCTTTAAGAAGCACCTACTCATTCCAACACTCATCCGCATTGGTCTGAGAAGTAGGTTGTATGATAAGCTCAGCAGGTGTGGACTTTCACCAGGTGTTTGCTCATTGCTGCTGCTGGTTTGATGGAGCTGTGTGGGAGACATTGGGGAAAAGGTGTGATCTGTGAATTGGGAACTTTGAGTGAATTGCTTGAAAATAGAAAGCAGCTTGTCACCCCGCAAATGGTTGCCATAGGAGATTCAAGGATTTCTCGAACACACATGAAAGAATAGAAGCAAAACTCTAGATAGAGTTTAACATTATAAGCTTGCTATCACTCTTTCACATTACTGTGGAGGAAGTTTAGGCCCACTCTTTACAGAAAGGTTTAGTTCAACTACATGGATGGGTTTTTGAGTTAAGTAAAATTTATTCATATATCACCTATCACATAAATTAAAATCAAAAGTGCTTCACAATGACACAAACACAAGAACATGCATGAATTTGATGTGTTGCTTCTTTCCTTCATGTTGTCAAACAAGTTGTATTTTGGAACTTTGGGTGTGGTTATTGAAACTAAACAGTTTTTCAAAATTGTTGTTGAGTTGCATTTTATTCACGATTTAACAAGAGGGGCAGGTTAAAAACTGCCATTTGTTTTGATCTTGATTACCTTTGTTTTATGTCATCTAAAATGTGACAAAAGAGCAAAAGGAGAAGTAACCTGAGTGGAAATAACAACACTGCAAAAATTTTCTTAAACTAAAAGTAAATTTTTCTCTAAAGAGTTTTACTGTCTGTGTTGTGTGTGTATCTTTGTCTTTTATGAGAGTAATGACTGATTACAACACGGTACAATACATGTCAACAAATTTCCTCAAACTCAATAGGTCCTCTGAACCTTAAGGTATTGAAGAAAAACTGTTGCATGAGGACATTTTACAATAGTCAACCCCTAAAGTAGCTACAGCAAAACATTTATTGCCAAATTAAGTTGCAAGTGTCACATGATTTAAAAGAAGAAGGAAGCCAGTGACAGTTAAACTAGCCAATCAGGTGAGTGTTGCGTAATTCCAGAATAAACTCATTCGTCATTAAAAAGAAAAAAAAAACTTCCTTTTTCTTCGTAAGGCGGACAAAGAGGACTCAACAGTGAATGATTTTAGAAATGAAACTAAGGAAGTGATGCTGTTGTTACAATAAAATGTCTTTTTATTATCAGAGGGAAAAAAAAACAACACAAACACAGACATTGTTTACTTTCCTATTTACAGGATAACACTGTTACACTTACACCACTCATCACAAAATGTAAATGATAATTTACAACTCTGTCAGCAGATACTTCTAATAGATTATTTTTTATTCTTGCATCCCTTCATTTTCCTCACAGAGTTTCTAACACTGAAATTTGTGATAACATTTTGGATCATAGCCAAAATGGTCCATTTTGCTCCCTTAGATGAAGCATCTGACTTTTCACAAGACCTGAAATTGGTTTGCAAAATCAGGTCAGTCACAAAAAATCCAGTGCATTATATGACCTTAAAGCTATTCAACCAATCAACCAAGATCTCAAACTCACCACATGATGGGCAGAATGAGTACTGAGAGAAGCACTTAAGAGGCCCATGATAACTTTGGATGAGCTTCAGAGATAAACATCTAAAATGGGAGAATTTGTTGTAAAAAAAAAAAATAGTGGTACATTCCATAAATTGAGCTCTTATAGAATAGTGGAAAAAACTATTGTTTTTAGAGAGACATTGAAGTTTGCCAGGTCATTTGGGGGCAAAGTAAACTTGTGTAAGAAGCACTTCTTGTCAGATGAGACTGTAGTAGAACCTTTTTACACACATTGTATGTACACTGCATGGTTAAAATACAAATCAACCTCAAAACACCATGTCCACTGTGAAACAGGGTGCTGGCAGCATCTTCCTTTTGTATGGGTTTTCTTTAGAATTCAAAACAGTGCAAACAAAAAACAGATCATACTAGATGCTGCAAAAAACTTAAGCATACAATCTAAGCAAAAAGGGAACTGTTTAGATAAGAGCATGGTTATGTTTTAGAAGGTCTTTGTCAAAGTGCAGACCTGAATCCAGCAGGGATCCAATAGGAACTATTTCGATTGGAGATGCTGAGTATATTTTACCAAAGAGACCCAGATAACTTGCAATTGTAACTGCACCAAAAAATGGTTTAACAAAAGTTGATTCAGAGCAATTGAATAAAGAAGCACATTACACAGATTAACTGTGATTGACACCTAAAGCCAAATGCATGTTATTTAGGGCTATGAAAGTGAATTAGGTTGAGTGCAAGCCGAATAGGTTGGCCTACCACTTAAATTTTAGATAAAATACATTGAATTTTGCAATTATAATGTGACTAAATGTAGAAAAGTTCACATGATATAAATACTTTTGCAATGCATTGTTCTGTCATTATGACCATTATGGTTCAGCAAATAAAATAAAAAACAAACAACAAAACAGCACACTAAAAATCTGTCATTGCTGACGAATTACTAACAACTTCTCAGTGATGACAAGCTTACATCTGAGGTTCACATAAGTGACTCAGATTATCCATAGAAACAGGTCCTGTCAGTGTAATTAGACAATTCAAAGACTGCACATGAAAACAGTCTCCTGGCCACTGGTCTGGTGTCAGGTGAAAGTCTGATAGACTCAGTTTCTGGGAAGTCGGAGGTCAAGAGGAGTCTTGCCTTGTTCGATTGGTGAGGCAAAGCCTCTCCAGCTGCTGCCTGCGTTCACTGTGGAGGGTCATCAATGTGTGGTTCTCCTCCGTTAAGCGCTGAAACTCCTCCTCGAGACGGGCAATCTCTACAGCTACCTTCTCATCTTCCACCAAATCCACCAGCAACTTTCGCCTGAAGAAATGAGAAAGACAAACCTTTAAAGATTTTTTTTTTTAAAGATGTATCAAGAAAAGGGAAGTGTCCCAAAGTCCTGATGATTATTTGCTTAAGCTATCTCTACTGACGTATTTAAATGTGTAAGAACAGAGTGAATTTTCCAGGGGAAAATGGTTATTTCAGTAATTTATGAAAGGTTTCTTGTTCTTTTGTTATTGAACGGCAATAGATGAGTCATTAAATTGAGAGCTTCACTTTATTTCTCATTTGTTCTTTTACCACAAGATGGAGTGATACAAGAGCTCAGTCCATTTATTCATCCCGAGTTCAGTCATACACTCCTAAATGCAAACATTTGTGAACTTTTCCAGCCTGATTTGTTTCGTCACCACTGGTGTCAAGAATCATTTCTCTGGTTCCTGCCACATTAGATTTCATACTGACTCTTACAATGTGAGCTGTAAATGATTACAGCTCACATTGAACTAATACAATTATCTTCTTTGAATATACAAGTTTATATATCTTGTAAAAGAAAAAAAAAGGCTTGCTATTGGCTTTTAATGTTTGACACCTATTTAAGAGTGCATTACTGTTGTTTACTTTGAAATTTCCGACATAGTTTCTGTAAAATGCTTTGAAAATGTCAAGTGGATTGGCTTTGTTTTTTAATGAATATGAAGCCCCTTCCACTGGCAGACTGAGAAATTCAATGACGAGTGAATCCTGGACTGAACATCAGTAGGCAGAGGCTACTAATAGGAGGATAGGGTCAGGAGCTCAACACAAGAGGATTAGTTTTTATGAAGATAGCATGGAAAGCATACAGTAAATGTTGAAGTCCTACAGTCAAAAGTGGGAGGCACTGTCAAGGGTTTTTTTTATTGGTCTGATGAATTATTTTAATCATAAATACCACATTTAAAAGTTAGTAGTAATTAGCTAAATAAAGGCTTGAAGGCATGAGTCTTTGAGTACATAGTCTATATAATGTGCTTGTTTCACTTAGTCATCTCAGTTACTGAAATAAATGAACTAATTAATAATATTCTAATCTGTCTACCAGATGATCATCTTTGGCAACCACAAAATAAATTCATTGTTTAGAAATGTGGTTTCTGTGGTAACCCGGTCAATGAATTAGAGATTACACCTTTAACATATAACTGAAATTGAAGTGTTTTGTCTTCACAGTCTTTTGTTTTTGTTCATTAAAAGGCCACAAACTCCATTCTGAAGTATTTGTGAGTTTCTGAATATGGAAGTAAGTAGGAAATCACGTGTGGGCACATGTATGTTTATTTTTGTCACACAAAGCGGCTGAAAAGAGGAAGAAGACATTTTTCAAAACCACATTCATATGCATTGGACTTTTAAAACTTTCACATAAAGCTGTACATTACCAAATACTTTTTTGAGAAGATCTCAAAAAAATGCGTTTCCCTTGACTTATTTTACGTTTGTTGAAATGTTAAATCACTAAGTAACAGAAACAATACTGAAAAGTGATAAAGTCCTTAATGTTCTTTGCTTTCATACAGACTAAGTGTAGCAAAACATTTAAGAAAAGATCCTGTCATTTTCTTGAAGTAATATCCCTGTTGTCATTCTTGCAACACTTTGTGTGTCTGAAATATGAGAAGTAAGAAAACTGACTCAGTGTTGCATAATAAATTTACTTTAATGATTGTGAGCTAAAGTCGAAAGCATGTTTAGCATTGAGATAGTTGTAGCTTTATTATTTAAACAGTATTTTGTCCTTGTATATCTGTTGCTTATTTTAATTAGATGTAAAGTCTTTGTGTATTGGTAGATAATGGCAACAAGGAAGAAGTGTGAGAGTAGTAACATGACTCATCATGTCTTATCTTATCGAGGGTCAGTCTTCATGCATCTCTTTATTTAGGAATACTGAAGTGGGTTGTTTCAGTGCAACCCGCAAATTGGGGAACCATGAATCCTACAGCACTTGCCAGTTAAGGAGGGCTGCATTACCTACAGACCCATTGTGCTAGCAGTGCAGGAGAAACTGGATATAGATTTCAATTCAACAATGCATATTTTTGCTCAGTTGTTTTCAGAATTGTATCACATGTAATTAGTTGTTCTTGTGCATTCAAAGATTGAAATACTTTGTACATATCATCAAGCCTTACTTGCGTTCCTCGAGGACAGAGATCTCGTGTTTTACATGATGGAACTCTCTGGCCATCCTGCAGTGCTCTTTGTACACCTGAACACTCTCTCTTAGGGACATGCAAGGTAACACAGGCTGCAATACATTGGAGAGGCAGAGGAAGAAATATGAAAGAGACAGATTTTGATTTGTATTGACCAAAATTGCTATAAACTTGTGTCCCTGGACAGTTCCAAGTCACAAGTCAATCATAGGGGAACACAGAGACACATGAATACAATCACACATAAACTTACGACCAAGTGCAACTTCCGAGTATTTAATTGACTTAAAATTCAAGTTTTTGGGCTGAGGGAAAAAGTGAAAAATAGAGTACCTGGACAGAACTCACACAAGCACAGTGACAGAACCTTGACTTGGATTTCAACTCAGGACTTTCTCACTGCACAGCAACAGAGCTACTAACTGCATCACCATATAACCATCTCACTTAGTCATTTTTTCTAAAGATTCCTTTAGAATATTTCTGCACCTATGTACTTTCATAAAGGTGGCTAAGGATGAATTATTAGTTATATTGGTATCATTCTATATTTTCATGTTTGTAAAATGTTTCAGTTAAGGAGTAACATTATGTAACATACTCTCCATACATACATTTTTGATATCACAAAATACCAAAACATATCAGTCATATTTGAGTACTTTTTTACTACAGATCAAGAACACATTTGTGCACATAATCAAAACAAAAATATCATTCAGAGTTAGAGTAATGTGTAGACTCAGAGCAGTACACTACTGGAACTCAACATGAGCACTAACAGCATTTTGATAGCAATACAACAGATTTTTAAAAAAAGTTAAAGTGCTATCTGAATAAATCTATATATAATCTCAAATGTATTAGGACATATGTTTTTATATATATCAAACATTGGTTTGCTTTGATTTTTTCTAAATATCTTGTTTTGAATGAGTTTCACATTAAAATGTGATAATAGAATAAGAGGTAAAATACCTGTATATGGCTAAAGGAACGACAGAAGTACCACAAAACAAACTTGACATTTTCTTCTTTTTATTAGCGGACAGTACAGAACTACATACCTGTAAACGTTGTTCAAGGTCAGGGAAGGCCTGTGAAAGATCTTCCACATCTTTTATATCTGAAGAAATAGAGTTCATAATATGTTAGAAATTATTGTTAAAAAACTGGGAATCACAACGAACCAAACATCATTATGTGTCGACTTATGAAGTTTTTCTAGCCCCATGATTATAGTGACTAGAGATGCACCATCTGTGGTTCTAAAGCTCCCTCTAGTGGCTACTTTGATTAAAATTTTAAAACCTAACAACTATACAGTATGTTGGGCTGCACAGTGGTGCAGTTGGTAACATTGTTGCATTGCAGCAAGAAGCTCCTTGGTTTGATTCCCGGCCTGGGGTCTTTTCTGCATGGAGTTTGCATGTTCTCCTTGTGCATGCGTGGGTTCTCTCCGGGTACTCTGGCTTCCCTCAACAGTCCAAAGATATGACTGTCAGGTTCATTGGTTTCTCTACATTCTCCCTAGGTGTGAGTGTGTGTGTGCATGGTTGGTTGTACTATCTCTGTGTTTCTCTGCGATAGACTGGCGACCTGTCTGGGGTGTACCCCGCCTCTCACCCAGAACGTTAGCTGGTATAGATAGGCAACAGCACCCCTACCAACCCCACTAGGGACAAGGGTGTGAGAAGACGGATGGATAAACAATATGTAGCTTGAGAAAGATTTCTGATTGAAACCTTCAAGATTCAAAAGCCCTTCCTTTCCTTTGGTTTAGTTAGACTGCAGCACACTACTTGCCATTTGACAAATCATGCTCCAGTTGGAATCTTTTGCGATGATGGTAAGCTATAATTAAGTAAAATTGTAGGCTTTTTTTTTTTTTTTAGAATGCTTTGTGTTGAATTTATACTTGAGAAAAGACAAAAAAGAAACAAAAGAAAAAACTGATAGGGCTTTGGAAGTAACTGCCTCTCGAATTGAATTACTGTGATCCAAACATATGAAAAAATTAAGTATATTTACATGCCAAGCGTTTTTATAATTTTCATTAACTAATGAGGTTTAAATCAGGAATAAAACTAAATATTTCAGTTGTCTTAAAAATGAGTTATGGTTGTAATACTGAAAATCTGTATTTAGTAAAACTATTATTTGCTTTATGTGCCAAAGAACAGTTTAACTTGCTCTCAATGCTTTTCTGTGAAAATGTAATACTATAGGTTCTCTTGTACAGCACAACAACATTGTAACACAATGCTGCACTTCTAAATAAGTCATGTCCTCTGACTGAGCAGCAGTAATGAGCTGCCTGGCTGAAAGACATGCAGGTTAAGAATACAACTGAACAAGCATTGTACATGTCTGCAATGGACAGGAAGATGATCCAGACCATATGTAAAGTCAAACAGGGATTCAGCCATACAGAAACAGACAGATTGTCTGCACTGTTTCGGTAGTGATGCATACCCTCCCAAGAGTTGTGGAACATGTGGAGAATCCTGGAGTGATGCAGCCTTCTAAAATCAGGAGTATTAGCGGGCAAGCCTTTAGCCTTGGGCCAATTATAAAGAGGAATAAATATGGTTCTCATGCTTAGGACTGACACAGTGTTGGGTTTGAACTATGTCAGGCATGAAGTCACAGAGGGTCTAAATGTTGATCCTCAGATGGAGCACAGCTCATCTCCTGCTGTGAAACATGAGTTCAAAGAGACAATAACATGATCTCAGAAGATCCAAAATATCCACTTCTGATTTGCAGGTAAGATTCTGCCTGGGCAGTTTTGACAGACTGCTCAATCGCCTTGAGAGAGCTGCATTCAGTGAACAAGCTTGGCAAATGACCTCTCAGACACAAATTTGAGATGGCTGTTCCTGGTATAGCTCTTCACATTGCTGCCTAAGAGAAAGAAAGACAAGGGGGAATCAAGGACGGGTGGGGTTGAACTGGAAGTGTTAACTGCTTATATATATAGGCCAGTGTTCTAAAAGCTGAACGGTGAATCAGGCAGCAAGACACTGTTAGTATTATACGAGAAACCTGACTCTGTCATTGCAAAGCTGCAGCTGCTGTCCCAGTGCCTGACCCTACTGCAGTAAAACATCCTGACAGACAGAACCTAGGTTGAAAGGCATGCTCTTTAGCTTTAATATACATGTGTAGGTGGTAGTAAAAAGAACAATTTAGAAAATTATATGGGCCTTTGCAAGGATCATTCCTAAGGCAAATGCATTTATACTCACAGCATTTCATAACAACTGAAGATAACACACTTACCTAATAGTTCTATAACACTGCACGTTTTACGTGGAAAGTAAGTAAGCCTAATGCCACCCCCTTAAGGCTTGAGCAAAACTTCACCTTCCAGCAAGACTACAAGAACCTACATGCAACTAGAGCTACAAAGAAATAATATAATATAATATAATATAATATAATATAATATAATATAATATAATATAATATAATATAATATAATATAATATAACATAGATCAAAGTGTATCTGTATGTTACAATGGCTAAATCAAAACCAAGACCTAAATCCAATTGTGAAGCTTTGACAAAATGTAAAATCTGTTGCTCACAAACACTGAATGCCATCTGATTGAGCTTGTGTCATTTTACAAAGGTGAAAGGGCAAGAAATATCTGATTCTACATGTCAGAAAGGCACACCCAAAAAGACTGGTAGCCATGATTGCGATGTCTTTTCCAAATATTGATGTGGTGAACTGAAGACAAATGTCAGACCGTTTTTGTTTGTCTGATACAATTTGAAAACCCAAATATCCTTCAAGTTCTGTCCTAGCTTTTGGTGTCATCACTCACACCAAATCCCACAAAAAAAAAAAAAAAATCTCAGAAATGGTTGTAATATTACAAAGCGTGAAAAACTTCAAGGGGTAAAAGTGCTTTTTCCAAAAAAATTAAACAGTAGTTTGGTGTCCATATATTTGCTTTTTGCCAGTACAGTGCTCCATAAAGGTATATGTTTGTTTTTAACATCCTGTGGTCATACAGAAATAATGATAACACCTGTCTCAGATATAGCCAGGAAGAATGAACCCGCAGTTAAAGCAAGTGGGAGTTACTTAAGCTACACTCGGCATGGTCTGTTTTGGTTGGCAGAATGTAACACAAATGTTCCACACATAGTGGAAACGAACCAAAAGTAGTTTTGATCTGGTGTTAAATGACATGCTGAACAACCAGAGCAGCTCAAAACCTCAAAATAACTTGTTTCTAATCATTCTGAGATCCTGGAGCACAGGTGCAGGCAAGGAGTTTTGTATTAAGGGATTTGGCTATGTGTGTGTTCACAGTATGTACTGTATGTGAATGTGTGTTTACCTGATGTGTCATCGAGGCTGAAGGCTATTCTAACTTCAGATTTATCAGGAGACACCCTTCTGGTTGAGGTGATCATTTATCCCTTCATGGTGCAACGGAGAAAAGAAGAGCTGTCAGAACAATCCAAAGCACAATATGGAAGATGCAATATTTTAGAAATGGACAGATCAGCATGTTGTGGTTGATTTTTTGCTACTGAAATTGGTCATTGTTATTTATAAGGAGAGGCTGTAATGCACATCAACATGAGTGAGACAGCAGTTGCTGTTAAAAAATTAAAACAGAGATCAAATGAAGACAGAGCTGAAATTTTAACGTCATTAACATTTTGTGATAGAAAATAGTACATTGTTATTTGTAGATTCTGGCCTTATACCTGAGATGATAAATGCTGAAAGCCAGGAGTGCTCAAAGTCAGTTCTTGAGGGCCGGCATTCTGCATGTTTTAGTTCTCTCCCTGGTAGTACCAACAATCTTTTCAGCATGTCAATGTTCTTCTTATGCCTTCTAACGAGACATCATTTGATCCAGTTGTGTTAAACTAGGGAGAGAACTAAAACATGTAGGATGCCGGCTCTTGAGCACCGACTTTGAGCACCTCTGCTTTAAGCACTTCCACATTAAGAATTTTTTATATAACAGTTGGAGGTTGAAAACGTTTTCTTAGTTCACAATTGAAAACCTCAAAAATCCTTTTTTTTCACTTAGTAACAGCATCCACACTGAAAATCCAACACCAACCTGGTAGCACCTATTGTAGTATTATTGTAGTGGTTTTTTTGTGGTTTTGTTTATGATTTGGATATTAGAGCCTTCATATTTTTTGATTTTAAAAGTGTGTCTAACTTTTTTTTAATTTCTCTTATTAAAAACATTCATAAATGTTTTAAATTTCAAATAAACTATATTTAAACTATATGCATTCATGTTATTTCAACTGGCAAGGTAAAATAAATACTGAACTCAGCAAGTGTCGTGTTGAATTGCAATGAAAGTCAATGCCGACCATTTGATAAATCATACGATGAAACCACTGTGGGCTCTTATAAATACACCAACTGCACACAGCACACACAACAACCAGTTTCATTATACATTTGAAGTTCCAGAGGGATTAAATAATTACAGAGCTTTGACAGACTGGTGATGAGGGCTGCATGACCCCTTTCAGTGGAGGTGCAGGCTTTTTATATCTGGGCATTTGCCTCCTTTAACCCTGCTTAACTCACTCCACTCTCCCCCAATGTTTATAACAAAGCTGTCTCTTAAAAGTTTCACAAATACAATAAATGCCTTAATGATGTCTCTATCATCAAGTAGAATTTGTATAGTTTTACACATCAACACTGCAATGGATATGTGTGAAATGTTATTGGCATAAGGAGGCAAAACTCAGTTCCGAAAAGGCATCGTTACCTGAAGCAGATCCAAACTAAACCAAAAAGTGCTATAGGCTACTGAAAAGTTAAAATCCAAGCAGTTGAGTAAATCCTCAATTAGGAAGGATTGGGTTCTTCCCTCCTGCTCCTTATGTCAGCCACTCCTGAGCAAATCCAGATCAGCAAAAATAGAAAAACTAATGTCTTCTTACTTCAGTCTGTACTTTTACTAAAATCCTTTAATTATTTTGTGATTAGTAAGATTTAAGAAAAGATGTCCACTTTGCTTGCCTCAGCTGTTAATGTCATCCACAGCTTAAGTTTGCCTCGGCACGCATGTGTCATCCGCAGACTGCAGCCATGCAGAGTGGAGTAAACTCAGTTTTCAGGCACGCAGAGCGGGAATGCTGTTCACTGTCCCCCTGTGGCAGCTCAGACCCAATTAAATGTCTCAGATGACATGACTTTAGCCTGCAAAAATGCCCACAGCTCCAACTCTGTTTTGAGTGACACAGTCATCCCACTGGGATGGTCCCTTTGCAATAGCATTGCACTAAGGCAGTTGTTCAGAGGAAGCATCCCCTATGTGTTCTTGTAGAGGAAAAGTGAGTCCCTACCAGATTTTATGTGAAAAAAACTTCACAATATAAATAATATTTTTGAAAACTAAAAAAAAAAAAACATTTAAATGAGACCACAAAAGAGTTTACTATAGCAAACTCGCTGAGCTCAAGTCTTCCAGAATCAGACAAGCTCAGCTACTATAACAAAAGATTTGATTAATGTTTTGATTTACTTTACATATCACAAAAGTGCCAAAAAGGGGTTACTCCTTCTCTTAAGTGCAACACATAGACATTTAAGTATCTGGGTAGCAGCTAGTAAACCGGTTCTTGCGTTTTGCAAAGGTATTGTTCTCAAGATGCAATGCATGAAGTAGAAAATACAGGAAAAGACACCTGTCAAACCGTTAAAAATGTGAAGGATCTTTCCATTAAGACTAATGGAAAGATCCTTCACATTTTTTACGGTATGATTAGTTTTAGTTATGTTGCAAAGGAAAATGAGCAAGAATTGTAGTTGATTAGTATAAAAGATGGTCCCTTTACAATAGCAAAATAATAATAATAATAAAAGTTGGTTGAGACATTCAGTAAAAGAGTGCTGAATAAAGCTTAATGCCAAATTCTTAAGATTCATTTATATATTTTGTCTGATAATAGGAAGCATTATTAAAAATAGCATACAGTTCATTTAACTTCACAATTAAGGTGAAATAAAATCCAAGGAAAATAAACTGATATGTGTTTATGTGGCAAAATTCAGAAATATACAAGGGGTCAGGGTTCATACTTTAAGAAGACATCATACCTAACTTTATTCTACTAAATTTAATGCTTCTGTCCCGATTGTTTCATCAGTTATTTGATCCTGCAAAATGCATCATTTACAGTGACATGTCCATTAATTAATGTAGTCAAGACTACTCAAACACATAAGACTTTTGTTGTTTTGCACTGCGGTATCTGTTGATTTCTTGTCAGGGATGAAATTGTTGTTTTTAGTGATGATAAAAGTAAGTTTATAGTCTATTCAATCATTGACAAGTGCAATCTGTCTTAAAACTCTAACCTCTGGGACCTCATATGTTACTTTTGTGTTGCAACTTGCAGTTGGATCAACTAAATCAGTATAATTAAGTTTTTGATGGAAAGAATGGTTAAGAACCTTTTGCTAAGTCTTGTAAATCTTGCATCCATAATCAGAAATAGATTGTTAACATTTAATCTGCATGGGAGCTGTGCCAGGAAAAAGTCTTTACAAGATCAAGACAGTGATTAGCACAGATGAATTATGAAAGAACGGATCATACCACAGCAACTGCATGTATGTGAGGTGCAGAGCACTGAGTAGAAAAACCTGACACAGTCTTTGAATCATAAAGATGTAAATGCCATTGGTGCTCCAGGGAGCTCAGACATTGCTGTCACTCTTTCATGAATAATGCATTTCATAAAATAATACTTCTGCATGATGAGTGTTCACTTCACAGAATAGAGGATAAGGTGATCATTTCCACAGCTCTATGCTCCCTGGAAAAGTGACTGAAATAAAAGAAATACAGGATTATGGAGTGCATAAGAATGAAACCATATGGCTGCATTTGTATAGCTCTAGATTCTGTTAACAATTAAAATATTTGTGAGTAAGGTCTGCAATCCTTATTAACACAATTATTATGAAGACAGTTGTCTATTCAGCATATGAAGGAAAATGCTGAAACATTCAGCCACTTTAAAACTGAAGAAAGGTCAGCAGTAGTGATCTTTTTCTGTTAATTACCTGCTGTATTAGAAGAGGATTTATTGTATAATAAAAATCTTCACATGAAAAATGATTCATAACAGAAAATAACTATACATTTGCTGCTGCTGCTACTGCTGCTTCTAATATACAAATTTGATGGTGTCTTCTGAAAATTTCTTTCCTTAAAAAAATTCCAGCAAGTTTTCTTTCAGATGGATGAAGTAGAGTGCTATGAGATCACTGATGGGGACTAAGAAATAATTTGGTTATTTAAACATGGTTGCAAAAATGTTTTAATTTAAATTTCTAAAAGTAAAAAGGGCTAAGTAAAAATGCACCCACACTTTTTAGACTGGCACTTGGAAATAATTCTTCAAAGATATGTAACAATTGAGATTTTGACTTTGTGTGCTTTGGGCTGTTTTGTTTTTACCTACAAGACTTCATATGCCCACCAGCAGATGGCAGCATCGACCCTGAATTATTTACAACCAGGAAATCAAGCGCTCAGAAAACGGGAGTGAAGCCCATTGAGGGGAGCAGATGGAGATAAAAGATACTCTATTCTTCTGAAAGCCTCCTCCTCCTCATTTGTCTTCATTGACAGCCTGTTGACACAGACCTGCCTTATCAGCCTCAGGGAGTTTTCATTTCATTGTGATGGATGGGACACACCCAGTCATTTTTTATGCTGCAGTCATAGTTGAAATTTAATTCCCCTGTTGTTTTTTGTACAGTTAAAAACATCACAAACTCTGCCTGACAACTCTGAAGCATCCATGATAGAAATTAAATTTTTCTCTTCTGTAGATTTTAATATAGAATTTTATTTTATACAACAAAGCTATTAATTTAGAATAATGTAAATTTTACCATGCAGGTAAAATTTCCTCATAAGAACCATTCTCAATTGAGTGTTTTCTGTAAATCTCCTCTTCATCTCTGCAAGACTTCTGCATAAATAATCTCTTGTTTTTGGATCAAGACCACAAACAGGTAAATGCCAGCATCCATTCGAAGTTTCTCCATCTGAACAGCAGAAAAAAAGGGAACTACTTTTTGTGTGTGTTTGTTTCAAGAACAGAGATGCTGTCAGATGTTTCCTGGCACAAATCTACAGGGATAAAGCATGTAAAAAATGGAAACATGTCAATAATGTCAGTCAGGTAACATGCCCACTACAAAGATGGACAGGGATTCTTGCTTAGTAGAGCAGAATGCCAAGGTCAGAATTGTAATCCCTGGCCTTGTTCAAGATGGATTAGAGGAATATAAAAAAAAAAGAAAAGAAAAACTGCCTTTGGTTTTGATTAAGATTCATGGGGTTAGGAGATTAGAGGCAACCAAATGCTATTACACAGGACTGAGCCCAATCCCTGAATTAATCTAAATACAAAAAAAAAAGTGGAAAAAAAAGAAAACTCATTACATGACGAGATTAAGTAAATCATGGTCCAATTCTTTTGGGAGGTGTACAGAACAGTCAGGTTACATATAGGCACGCCAAAGTAAAAAGTCTGAATTGAGTGAATTAGAAACTATTTACACAAGCATTTATTCCAGTTTCAAAGTCACTCCATTAAGTGTTTGCCCCATTCTATTTCATATTCAGAAATAAGTGACAAAAATTACACCAGATAAATAAACTTTGGCAAAAAGACAGATTTTCATTAAAGCAAAAATAAAAATATTCAATTTTAGCTTGATTTGTTTTCATATTTAAAATCATGATAAAAAAAAAAAAAGAAGCACAAAGTTATGGTAAGCGATGACTTGGTGAGAAAAAGGTCATACAAATCATCATCGGATCCCTTGAATCCCATGAAAACAGACAATTTATTATTTTTGGGGGTTAAATTTCTATCGGCTTTTAGTGTATCGCACAAAAAGAGAAACCTAGCTTGTCATTTGTGATTTTATGAGAATACACTCTTTCTGGACCAGACATGTGCAGCATGTAGAAACAATATTGTATAGTGTTTGACATGTACAGCAAGCTTGAAACTGAAATAGTCTTCCTCACTGGTGTATTCACCTTTTCAACACATCAGACGTCATACATTCAATAGGACCTGCTGTGACTGCAGGGAGAAAAGACGTCCCCTCAGGCTTTCAAATTTGACAAATGAGAAAAAAAAAACTGCTACAGTACTTCCGGGTGAACAGGAGATTGTTTTTTGTGTTTTAAGATGCTGAGAATTTCTTGCATTTGAAGATCTCTTTTTACCATTCCCTCTCAACATCTCACAGCATTGTGGACCTCCATTTTGTGTGAATGTATGAAAGTTTCTGCATGGATATCTGTGATGTTGGTTGGAGCGGGATATAAAACAGCAGGTGTGTTCCCGTCTTTTTTTGGAAGTCGTTATCTGCTTTCCGTGGCAGCGCTTGGCTCAGTAAAGAACTTTGCAGGGCACTGGCAGATAAAGTATTGTGCAAAGACATCACTGTCAAGAAAAACAATCATATTTCAACAAAAATGCAAAAAAACAACAAAAAAAGTATTTATTTTGAAACTCAGTAAAGCTGCTTCACATTTTCACCATGGGTTACTTTATAAAGTTTGCAGATTTAACTTTACAAACTGCTAACAGTTAAAGATGAAGGACTATGACAACATATAAGAGATTTAATTTTTAATATTTGACATGTTTTTACAGGACTATGATACTGCAAACTACATCTACAGTAGAGTGCTTCACACAAATGATCAATCTAAAGTAAAGGGAATGAAAAAAATATAAATATATATATTTTGAAATTTGTGCCTCACAAAAATTTCAGAGAAGATACAAAGTAAGTTGACTTCAGTCTGATGTAAATTGCATCAAGTTTTGGATCCAAGGCTCAATCGCTGGAGTCTCGTCTTTCTCCCTCCCTTTTTGCAGAGCGTTTTGGTTGACAGAAGATGCAGGGGGACCTTGTTGCACTTTGAGGTCGCGACCTGCTCCGGACACCTTTGTAACACTGCAGAGATCTACCCAACTCCTCCATCACAGCACTAAAAGACACACACTGTCAAGAAAAAAACAATATTTTATTGCTCTTTAATGTTAATTGATTTTTCAATAACAACAACCCATGATAATAATATTGTTTGATATGCAACATG